TGATTGCTACATCCTATCTTCAGAAATAAACCAAAAATGATGTATGGAAAATGCAAGGTTAAAATGACTTACCTTGAAACTTCGCTTTAGGTTTTGAGTGTGAATACCCTTCAAGATGTTGTGTGGATCTTAATGAAACTCCAGAGAGCTTCTATACCTCCCGTTGTGTTGATGGTTGCTGAACCAACTCCAAACAGTCAAGTTTGTGTAATATTATATTTTGTTTAGAAGTTGAGAATAAGGGCACTACATAAACTGTTCTTGTGCTTGAACAATATCTATGTGATGTGAAGTGTTTATGAGGTTTGTTTGCAAGGTTGTACAATAATGGGTTGAGGATTTTATTTTGTTTTGTGGGTGAAAATAGAGTTGGAGATGAACAAAGTTTTATGAAAATGAGCTGAGTTTAACAAAAGTTCTCTTTTTCTCTTCTCTCTTTTTCTCTCCCAAAAAATCCCCCTATGTCTTATGAAACAGTCCCTTTTGTAGATCACTCACCGAGGTTTAGGAGGGAAACAAAATAAGTTATTTGGAACTGTTTTTGCCTACTACTTTGATACTTTTCCATACAATTTTCTCTTTCCATTTTGGTGCAATTTTGTGGTTGTTATTATGCAGGTTGGAGCAGACTGCATAGAGAAATTTTGGACTGGTTTTTTGGACAGATTTTGGACTGTATAGGACAACATATGCAGGTTTTTGTGACAGGTTCGTGGTGCAGCATAACACAAGATTTTTTATAGGACGGCAATAGAGCATGGTTTTGGAGTGTTGTGGCAATGTATAGAAGTAGCATATCATACTTTGTTCAGCAATAACTTGGACAGCATAATTTACAGCATGAAACAATTTTGGTTTGTGGAGCAATTTATGCAAATTTTATCAAAGACAAAGCCTTGTGGCAAGGTTTTGAGTCAAAGGAAAAAGTCCAAACAATACAAAGTTTAGGATTTGTAATCTTTCAAAAATTCCACTTTGTAATAACTTGAATCATTTGTAACATCTTGAACTATTTGGAATTATAGTGACAAGATGTCATGAAGCAATGAACTTAACTTAGAAAAATTTCCAAGTCTTGCAAAAGTTGGATTTTTTGACTTTCTTGATTTTTTATGATCAAATTTTATATTTTGGATGTCTCGATGAAATATGATTTTTGGGACTCAACTTTGGTCAAAAAGTCAAATTTTGACTTTTTAGTGTACCGTTGATTTTTCCCACCAGTTGACCGAATTTTGTCTATCAATCCACTGATCTCATGAGATGAATAGAAATATGCGATTAGGTCAAAATGATGCGCTCGGATCCTTGAGATCATGCTTCCAACCAATAAGTCAGGTATTAGGTCAAAAATCAAAGTTCGGTCATTTTCAGTCAAAAACCCTAATTCTGCTCATTTTCCCTTTTGGTAACTTGAATTAATTTCTTGGAAAATTGTGATCAAAGACTTGAAACTTGGAAAAATAATCCTGATGGTGCATACTGATACATCAAATTCATTTAAAACATTAGAGATGGGAATGGGGTTTGGGTTGAGGAGCCAGAAGCGTTGAAGGATCATGTTACTTCTTTCTATAAAGAGTTGGTCGCTTGCCCTAATTATTGGTTTGAGTGGAACCACACTTGTGTGACTTTTCCCAAGCTTGAGCAGGAAGCCATACACGATTTGAATGCAGAGATTCGTACAAATGAAGTTAGAAGAGAAATCTTTTCTATGCAGCCATGGAAGACGTATGGACCTGACAGATTCCCAGTAGGTTTTTATCAAAAGGATTGGAATGTTGGGGGTGATGGAGTGTGTAAATTTGTTAAAGAGGCATGGACGAATCTTAGCATTGTTGCGGAGATTAATAAGACAGATATTTTCCTTATTCCTAAGGTTGAGCAACCATAGCTGGTTGGGCAATTCAGGCCAATTTCTTTGTGTAATACATTGTACAAGATCATTAGTAAGGTTTTGGTGGGAAGACTAAACCTGTTATTCCCTATCTGGTTTCACCTTTCCAAAATGGTTTTGTGCCAGGGAGTCTATCCATGAAAATATTATTATTGCTAACAAAATTATGCATAGTATACACAGCTAAAAAGGGAATCATGGTTACTTTGTGATCAAAATTGATTTAGCTAAAGCCTATGATAAGCTTAACTTGGAGTTTATATGGAGGATTTTGGAAGAGATTGGTTTGCCAATTAACATGATAATTCTTATTATGCATGGGGTTTCGAGTGTGGAAACCAATGTTAATTGGAATGGTAGCAGGGAGAATTTTTCCGTCCTTTTTGTGGAATTCGTCAAGGAGGTCCTATTTATCTGTATCTTTTCGTCTTATGTATTGATAAGCTTTCTCACTTGATTGAGCATGAAGTTAGGTGTAAAAACTGGAAGCCTTTTAATTTAGGGAAAAGAGGGGATCCTATCTCACATCTCATGTTTGTCGATGATCTCTTTATGTTTGCTGAAGCTACTGAAAAACAAATTACGTGTGTTAAGAAAACCCTAGGTGTCTTCTGCAAGATGTCAGGCCAAGAAGTGAGTAGTGATAAATCGAGTATACTTTTTTCCAAAATTTTTGCTAAAAGTCTGCCAACCAAATTAGTTAACATGTCCGGTTTCCATGAGACAGATAAGTTTGGGAAGTATTTGGGTGTAGCTGTTACTGGTATGACCCGAGGAAGCAATATTTCCAGCATATTATGGATCAAATTTCGCAGCGACTTTCTTATTGGAAAGCTAGATATTTATCCTTTGCGGGATAAGTGACTTTAGCTAAAAGTGTGATGGAGGCCCTGTTTATTCAATGATGACCAACCTCCTTCCGAAGGTGTGTATCAACGTGATCTAGAAATTACAGCGTAACTTTATATGGGGTGACACTGATGATAAGAATATGTATCATGCAGTGAATTGGGACATGGTTACAAAGGATAAGTGTGATGGCGGTCTGGGTTTAAGAGATTTGCATGTGATGAGTTAAGTGTGAATTATGAAGTTATGTTGCAAAATTATTAATAAAGATGATAATCTATGGTGCAACACTTTGAGAGGGAAGTATAATATGGATTATTTTGATGGGAAGTTGAAGGCGAGAAAAATAGATTCTAATCTTTGGAAAGCAATTGTTAAGATGCATCCAAAGTTGTTGGAATTTGGCGTTTGGAGAATAGGGGATGGTAATGATATGCATGCTTGGAAGGGTAAGTGGGTGGAGCATGGAAAATGTATATTTGATTTGAACATTAATATTCCTAAGGATCTAGTTGGTGTTATGGTTAGTGATCTGGTGGGGGAAGATGGTGATTGGAAGTGGAGTTTGTTGTAGTGGTTGCTGCTTGATGTCAATATGAGTATTATGGATATTCCCCCTCTGACAAAAGGTTCATTGAAGGATAAATTTGTTGTCGCTACTGAGGAGAATGATTATTTTACTATTGGTAGTATGTATCGTCACTGGATTGGTAACATGGAAACTAGTAGTAGTAAGCAATGGCGTTGGATTTGGGAATTACAGGTGCCAGAAAGAGTTAGAAGCTTCATTTGGATCCTTCAACACAATCGTTTACTTACTAACTCCAGGGTGAGTGGTTTTGGTTTGGGTGTTGCTGGATGCGATAATTGTGGTTGTGTTAATGAGACTGCTCTTCATATTCTCCGAGACTGCAAAGTAGCTAGAGAAGTTTGGGAAAATATTGTTCCAAATATTTTTTAAAACAAATTCTTTCAAACTGATTTGTTGGATTGGATTGACCTCAATGTAGATGAAATAATCCTTGCCGAGACGAAATGGTGTAATTTGTGGGCTATTGGGTGTCATATGATATGGACATGGAGGAATAAAGAGAAACATATGCATCAGTTTGTGAGACATTTAGGGGCAGTGGAGATGATTAGAGGTAGAGCAAAGGAGTATTTGGATGCAAAAGAATGAAAGGGGAGGTTATGGATAAGAAGTGTCTGGTGCAAGAGGTTCATTGGAGTAAACCAAAATCAGGATTCATAGAATTGAATGTGGATGGAGCTCATGAGAAGAGTGGATTATCTAGTTGTGGGGGGATTCTGCGGAATGAGAATGTCGAGTGGTGTGGTGGTTTTGCGAAGATGGTGGGTTATTGTAGTGTTTTGCATACGGAGCTGTGGAGTATATTTGAAGGTATTAAGTTTGCTATTGAGAAAGGTTTCAGGAAGGTTGAAATCAAGATTGATTCAGTGGTTGTTGTGGATAGTATTTTGAAGTCGGGGAATTCTTGTAGAGGTGTGTCTTCCTTAGTGCTCAGTTTTAGAGAGAGTATGACTATTCTGAAAGAAGTGAATCTCACGCATACGTTTCGAGAGGCGAATAAGTCTGCCCGTATTCTAGCGAAAGCTGGGAAGGAGTTGAGAAATGGTTTGATTATTTATCATCAAATTTCGTATTTTGTTTGTCAGGCTTTTGATGATGATTTTATTTCTGCCCTTGAGTATAGGACTGTCGTTTTGTAGTTGTTGTTTTTTCTGGGCTTAGACCCTCCTGCTTTTCAAAAAATTGATTATGGAGAGATTTTGGAATGTTTGGTTATTCTAAAATAGAACTGATTTTGTTTTTAAAATTAATTTGATTTTTTAAAATTGATTTTATTAGAAGTTAAAATTTGTAGTTTCTGAATTATAATTTGATTTTTATATTAAAATTTATTATTCAATTAATTTTTACATAAACGTAAATCAATTATAATAAATTCAATTATATTAAAATCAATTTTATCAAACTTAATTATATCAAAGAAGAAGAACTTGGGTCTACCGCCGATCTAAGTTCAAACTAAGCATGTTATATAAAATAACATTATTTCATTTTTTAATTGAGCAAAACAATATCCAATCAATTGCAAACACCGACGTAAAAGATCACAGTATTAATCAATCATCTTTCTTTCTTTTCAGTTCCTTTCCGCTCGCTCTTATTGCTTTTCTTTCACTTTTCTTTTTAGTTGAAAAAGTTGGTCACCTCTCTCTCTCTCTCTCCATGGCTTCCAAGCGGATCCCGAAGGAACTCAAGGACCTTCAGAAAGATCCTCCAACCTCATGCAGTGCTGGTAATCTTTCCTACCTTCAAACACTACTCTACCTTCCCCTTTTGTTCGATCTACCACTTTCAACTTTTATCTATGCTTTGAATTATGTGTCTTCAACAACGATTCGTAAGTTTACTCAATTGTCTCTTTCTGTGGTTGTGAAATCCAATTAGATGCATGTCTTGTAAGATAACTGTTGCTTTAAGATCAAGCTCATTTTATCTCTTTCATATTTGTAAATGTTTTGGTTTGTAAAAAATCTATTTATCAAACTGTTCAATGAGACAATTTTACTATATTTTCTGATGTAAAGTTTGTTATTTTCTTCTTGTGTTTATCTATATCACTTTCACAGGTCCTGTAGCAGAAGATATGTTTCATTGGCAAGCAACTATAATGGGTCCCCCTGATAGCCCTTATGCTGGAGGTGTTTTTCTGGTTACCATTCATTTTCCTCCTGATTATCCATTCACACCACCCAAGGTATTGCATTGGTCAATGCAATTTTAACACTTTATACTTTGTTTTTCTTGACATTTCAAGATTCATATCACCATAGTCATCTCAAGTTTTTGGAGGTCATGCGTAGATTAGTAGCATATTAACTACGACAAAACAAATAGAAACCCTATTTAACTGTGACAAATATTTTATGAGATGCTATTTAACCACATTTTAACCGTTACAAATTTTGAGCCCAGTGCGGTAGCCCGCCTTGCACTGTCTCAAAGTCGGTCCTGCATATCAGATTTGTGTGTTCATAAAGTAGTGTTCTTGAACATTTATCATACTTAACCTCTCTTCTATTTCCAGGAAATACCTTAAGAGAGCTTTTCCAAATTCTTGCCTTGACATAGCTAGTTGTAGCTTCTAAGTTATAAAAAGCACAATTTGTTCAAGTTTTTAACCTTTCTTTTTTTTTCTGGATACTTTTTTTTACTTGCAGGTTGCATTTAGGACTAAAGTTTTCCACCCAAATATCAACAGCAATGGTAGTATTTGTCTGGATATCTTAAAGGAGCAGTGGAGCCCCGCTTTGACAATATCTAAGGTTCTGCTACTACTTAATTCTTTAACTCAAATCTCTCGTGGACATCACTAATCCCTTATGTTAGAAATAACATTTTGCTGTACACAGAGGAAGGCCCTGTTTTTGAAGGCCATGTGTAGGATATTCGCAGTTTAACCATTACAAAACAAATAGAGGTCCTATTTAACCATAATTTAACCGTCACAATATTTTATGAGGCCTATTTATACATGGTTTAATTGTGATAAATTTTGAACAATGTGTGATAGTTAGCCTTGCATGCCCTCAAAGATGGCTCGAGCTGTATGGCAACAATGCTTATAAGCACAGTGAAATGCTTTTGTAGTGAGTCTAGTTGCAAATGCGAAACATTTTTTGAGTATCATGTAGTACAAGGTTGCATAACTATGATATTTACGATGATGTTGTTTATCCGGCATTGTCTCTGCTATGCATGGTTACTTTTCCTTTCTGTTGATTTATTATTACTGCCGTTTCTTAAATGGGTGGGAAGGATTTGTATTTGGTTTTTCCAGGTGTTGCTATCCATTTGTTCGCTATTGACGGATCCAAACCCAGACGATCCCTTGGTGCCTGAAATAGCTCACATGTACAAGACAGACAGGTCCAAGTACGAGACGACTGCTCGGAGCTGGACTCAGAAGTACGCAATGGGCTAGCAAGCATGTCGGAGGTTCATCTTACTTCCATTCCATTTGTTAAGTGTCATGATGCGTGTAATATCATATAACATATCTTTTCATTCCTGCCTTTAGCACATTGAAGAGTAGATCTCTATCTATGTTGCTGGTAAGAGTCAAAACATGAGGATTTTATTTTGTTTGCATGAAGATTCTGCTTCTGATGTGAAATATTTGTAGTCAATAATATCAATATTCTTTTTTTTTTTTTGGTAAATAATTGTATTTCCATATGCACTAATGAAGACAAATCCCTTGTAGTTTGTCTTCTGCTTAGTTTTACTAAGCTAAACAACATCTACAGGACCATTTTTTCTTGCCATGTCTTTTCTGAATTAGGGTTATTTTCATTTGATAGCTCATAATATTTTCAATATATGATACTCTAAATCTTTGCTGAATCATCGCTGATATGTGCAGAATATATTGGCGATACTTTTCGAAAGAGTATCTGAATTTTTCTATTTTTTTTATGTCTACGGCGGCTATACGCCACTATGCATTGTTGACACGTTTTCGATATGCTACGAATATGGCCAACACGCCGCAATGCTTTGGCGACATGTTTCCGATATGCTAGGGAAATGGCCATTTTATCTCATTTTTTTGGAACATGAATCAAACATTTCTCTCTTTAATTACTCTTCTCTCAACTTTAATCATCTTAAATATATTTAATAAATTTTTAAAATTAATTTATTTGGATGATTGAGTTTATTAACTCATTAGAAATAATAGATAGATGTGAAAGTATAAAAGAGATATTAGTTGTACGTTGTTCATTTTAATGTTCATCTTTTAAATCTTTTTTTTGTTCTTGTTTTATATAATTAAAGTTGAACATTCTACTTTACAATTTATAAGAAGTACGGATTAATACTTAATAGTTGATGCATATTATTAACTTATATTTGTAACTATATAAATATTAACCGATTAAAAAATAAATTCAAATTTTATAAATGATGGTTTGATAGACGTGTAATGTGAATCCAGACAAGATCCATGTGATAACACAAGTTTCTTACTAGTTATTTATAACAAAAATCAAACCTTCCTCTTTTAAGTATCATTCTCTTAGCTTTAATGATTTTTTTATAGTAAATTATTATGATCTATTTAATATTCTCTAACAATTACCATTTTTTAAAATTTGATTTCTTCTTTTAATAATTATTTAATCAGTTATTGAATTTTGCAAATTCAATTTGTTTTTGTTAGATAATAATTTACAACGGGTGTGCTTTTCCTTTCTATGAGTTTCACTCTGCTGAAATTTAAGTTATGCTTTACGGCTTTCGATGAGGGCTTGCTAAACCACCTAACGATATCTCCTTTCAATTTTATCTCTCTTTCTGAGCCTTTGCAAAGGTGTTTCAATATTTGAGTATTGAGGGGTCGAACCATTTGTTAGGCTCTTTATCAAATTGTTTCCTGTATCTCGGACTTCGAAATGCTTTGTTCGTGGTCATGGAATCATTTCCATTTGTCATTTGAACAAAATGCTTGGCATATACCTGAAAAGTTAGAAGAACTTCAAGGATCACTATGTTTTAGTAACTCCCCTGAGTCCAGGGACTCATTCAATTTTTTGCAGAGGTTCTAGCTTCTCCTTCCCTGTCCTCTCGATGGCAGGAAAAAGTTATAAAGTATTGGTCTTTGGACCACTTTGAACGAGAATCCCTCAAATATTCTCTTGGTGATGATAAACTTTCCCTTGAATAGGAGTTGGTGTCCTTTTAGGAACAACTAGGTTAGAAAGAGGGGAAGAGCCCCTGAAGAAGTAGGATCTATGAAGCAATATAAGCGGGCTATTAACTCTCAGGCTATCTTGGATGCTTCTAATGATGAGGAGAGCAAAAAACTTCTTGGCGAGGAGAGTTTTTTTTTACTGATCGTCCCTTCTTGTTTGCAGATTTGATGGCATTTCTCAAGAACCTTTATGAGATGAGGTAGGCTATGGAAGCTGTAGGTGTTTAGGTATTGGCTTGCATTTTTGGTAAATCCCAAGTGTATGTGTGAATGTCATGACTGATGTCATAACATTCTAGTTCAGGTTGTACTAACTCATTAGGTACATTTGCAGAAAAATATTGTAATTCATATACTGATGTTTATAAGTGTGTATCTGAGCATTTTGCAAAATGATCACATTTTGCTAAATCAGTAGACAGGTTTTCTCAGATGTCATAACAGATGTTATGACATCCTGTTCTGAACTAACAGGATTGCAGGATTGGATAAGTCTGAGTTTTTTCAGGAAATAACTCAGTCCTTTCTGAACAGAATCCTGCGTTTTCTGAGGGGTAACCTAGCTCAACCCTAACCTGGCTAATAAAGTCCTGTGACCTGGTCTTTAGGTCAAACGGAATTATCCCTAGGTTTTTGGAAACCCTAACTGAAGTTGCAGCTGCTATATATTCAACAGAGCTGCTGTTTTTCAAGCATCTCGGCTGATTGATTAGAAGATCATTTGTAATCTGTATAGATTTGTTAATTGTACTCCAAGCAATTATCATTGTGATAAGTGCCTTGGAATAGGTTTCCATTTGTAAGGGTTGTGTAGCACTCAAAGCTTTGAAGCAAGAGTGTTTGAATGTTCCTTGACTAAAGCTGTGAAGCAGAGTCAAGTTAATTGTGTACATCACTCAAAGCTGTGAAGCACGAGTGATTGTGTTGCTTGATTAAAAAGCTGTGAAGCTTAATCAAGTGTTTGTTTTTGAAGAGTGTCTTCATCAATTCTTAAGTCAAATTGGTTTATGTATCACTGCTGTGATTGAGGGGGAGTGAGTAGGAACTCAGGTTTAAGTTGTACTTAGATTAGAATTGCATTGGGTAGGTCTTAAGTGAAGGAGATAAACTAGTTGGTTTATTCCTGAATTAACATCTCTTATAGTGGATTCTCTCCCTGGCTTGGTAGCCCCCAGAGTAGGTGTTGTTGCACACTGAACTGGGTGAACAATTGACTGTGTTCTTTATTGCTTTTGTATTTACTGTCATATAGTAAGTCAGATACGGTGTCATAACATTGAACGTGACATTGAGTATCTGCAGCCAGAATTTCAATTGGCATCAGAGCAGGCACCCTGCCTGTATTACTGGGTGAGATCTAGGGATATCACTTTCTGGCACTATGGACAAAGAAGGAGTTTTTGGAAATAGACCACCCATTCTGGATGGAACTAATTATGACTACTGGAAACCTCGTATGATTGCCTTCCTAAAATCTCTGGACAAAAAGGCTTGGAGAGCTGCTGACAAAGGATGGATTCATCCCACCATAACTGAGATAGATGGGACAATCAGTCTGAAGCCTGAGGAAGATTGGAGTAAAGAAGAAGATGAGTTAGCTCTGGGAAATTCAAAAGCTTTAAATGCCTTGTTCAATGGAATTGATAGAAACATTTTCAGACTAGTACATCAATATGAACTGGCCAAGGAAGTTTGGGACACTCTCAAAACTACTCATGAGGGCACTTCCAAAGTAAAAATGTCAAGGCTTCAGATGTTGACTACCAAATTTGAGAATCTAAAAATGATGGAAGATGAAACCATTCATGAGTTTCACATGAACATCTTGGAGATTGCCAACACCTCAGGAGCACTGGGAGAAAAGATGTCAGAAGAAAAACTGGTGAGGAAGATTCTCAGATCCTTGCCTAAAAGATTTGCAATGAAGGTAACTGCCATAGAGGAAGCCCAGGACATTAGAAAGTTGAAAGTGGATGAACTTATTGGGTCTCTTCAGACTTTTGAGATGGGGATCACTGATAATGGTGACAAGAAGAACAAAAGCATAGCACTTGTATCCAACACTGATGTTGAATACAAGGAGGATGAAGAAGAGAACATATCATAAGCTATTGCCATGCTTGGAAGACAGTTCAACAGGCTCATCAAAAGAATGGACCCAAAGTCAAGGTCTAATGTTCATAACATTCCCTCTGACATTGACAGTTCCAGCAGAAGACCAAGGTCAGAAGATAAGGGAAACCAAGGCAGAGGTATTCAATGCCATGGATGTGAAGGATATGGACATATTCGAGCTGAATGTCCTACCTTTCTTAAGAAGCAAAAGAAAGGAATGACTGTTACTTGGTCTGACTATGATTCAGAAAGTAATTCTGAAGAAGAATCTGCCAAACTAGTTACTGCCCTAACTAGTGTTTGTACTTCTGAAAGTGACACTAGTGATGAAGAAGTGACATTTGAAGAACTGGCTGATACCTACAAGAAATTGTGTATCAGAAGTGCTGAAGTCTGTGTGCAGAATGAGAAACAATCAAAACTCATTATAAAGCTGGAGGCTGAAAAGAGGGCAAATCTTGAAACTATAAGTTATTTAGAAGGAGAAGTTCAACTGCTGAACTCACAACTGAATCAAATGACCAAATCTGTCAAGATGTTGTCCAATGGAACAGACAAATTGGAAGAGATCCTTCAGGTTGGACAAAATGTGGGAAATAAATCTGGACTAGGATTTATGGAAGCAAAGAAATCTGGTACTGGTAAGCAAATGTCAAAACGGATGTCTCAACACAACTCTCAACATCAGGAACAGAGACATATGAAGAAAAGGTACCAAAGATGGAAATGCCATCATTGTGGTAGATATGGTCACATAAAGCCCTTCTGCTTCAGATTACATGGATACCCTAATCAGATCTCAGGTGTCAAACCTAAGTCTAAAAAGGTACCACATGCTCCTCAATGGAAGAAAAAGGCTACTGCACTGATAGCTCACACTTCCCTGAGGGTCTCTGCAAAGGAAGACTGGTACTTTGACAGTGGATGTTCCAGACATATGACTGGAATCAAGAACCTCCTCAATAATGTTAAGCCTCACACCACCAGTTTTGTGACCTTTGGAGATGGGGCTAAAGGTGAAATCAAAGGAGTTGGTGATTTGGACTGTCCTAGAGTTCCAAGTCTGAATGAAGTACTGCTGGTGAAAGGACTGACCGCTAATCTCATTAGTA